TTGAGAAATGGAGACAGAAACAGAAATCTGATCAACCCTGCAGTGTGAACTTTCACTGAAATTACCTACTCATTGCCAACACCAACACCGGTACTAGAAATGGTATGATGCACCTTGGAGCTTGATACCCGCAGGGTGACGGGATGACTAGCCTGAGAGCGTCTTCCGGCACATGTCCCCGTAATCACGCAAGGCTCTCAGTGCCTGATAAAAAAAAGGTACATAACGGTAACTTATCATAACCGGGTCGACTTGAACCAGCAACATCAAGCATCGCACCGAATTCAGTCCCCAGACAGAGTCTCTTTCGCTTTCCCACAATGGCGACCTTCTCATCGTCCATCCCTGCTCTTTTTTCTGCATTAATTACCCTTCTAGCCATCCCCGGTACAAGGACTCAAAAAACCCAGGGGTTTTTATGGAAATTTTCGGAATCGAACGTATGTGCTGTAATGTTCTGCACCTCACATATAACGTTAAACCTATGTACTTCAGAGACAAGAGCTGGACACTATGATTCCATGTTCGACTCACTCAATCGTTGTTGAATCGTTTGACACCTCCGATTCTTCCTACGGCGTTGCACCGTATTACATGATATCGTACGAGCTCGGAGGTACACCCAAAATCAGCTCGCTAGGGATCGACCCAAACAATCTACAGTGGACTGTGAATCATGCAGCAGGTAAAGCGGTAGCTACGCTTTAGGTTTGGTTTTGACTGAGCATCCCTGCAAATCAGGAAAAGTTCTTATCCTTAGCGTCGTCGATTCGCAAGGTACCGCAGGTGGCACAGGGCCGCAAGTCTCCGTTGAAGGTGCGTTCATGAAAAGCATTACTGTCGTTATATTCTCAATAAATCGTCAAAGCTGGTGACCCCAATTGCACATTCCAAAATGCAGATATACCTACAGACTTTACTATCGTCTCCAATGCAACAAATGACATCCAGACGTGCGAGCCGTGGGGGATACGAATTAGCGGAGGAGTCAAACCCTATAATTTAACTCTACTCCCGCCTAGCTCTCCCGCTTTGACGAATATTACGATGGGTCCCACTGATGACGGATATGTGTATATAAATCGAGCAAGTCCTGGATCCATTCTTGTCGGTACGCCCATGATGTCTCTAAAGTGACTAAGCATTCAAGATGTACTTATTTTCTCTCAAGCTGCTGTGTCTGATTCGTGAGGCTATTTCTTCTGAAATTTTACAGGGAGTATAACATTTTGGATATAGGACAGGCCGTTACGCTCACGGCACACCGTCTGTAAACACCAACGGGAGTCGTAACACGACGTGTCCAGGCTCAGAGAGCGCCTCCGGGTCAGCCTCTGATATTCCTGGTTTTGGAGAGCAGGGGCCTCAGGATGCAAATCCGCCTGACCCTACACAAGAATCGAGACAGGGTTCTCAGCATGCACCAATAAAGACTTCGACGATTATAGGAATCGTGGTTGGAGGTTGTGTGCTTGTGGTCATTATTACATCTGCCTTTTGGTGCTTTAGGCGTTATAAACAGCGTCGATCACAGGGTATACCGCCTGCAGGTTTAGTATCACCATTTATGGACAATCCCACTTCTATGGATGCCAAGATGGATAGTCACACAGTAGAAGAGCTATCGGCACATCATGGCACCCGGCAGGTCATCAGCGAATCGAGAGCGGAAGAAGCGGGGGTGACTATTCAGCACCAAGATTCTGGTCTAGATTGTGTTCACGAGCTACCACCTCCCTACGCCGATACCCGAGGAATGGAGTAACCAAGCACTTTATTGTCCCGAATATTCACTACCACCTTAAAACTGCAAAGACTTGGCAGACAACCATGGGCTTCTATATGTCATATATTACAACATCTAGTCAAAACATCAGCGATGATACCACTAAATATTGCTATTTATCATCATGACAAGCTGTGTCTCTCGGGAACGCTCCTTCCAAATAGAGCATATCTGTCTTGCCTTTTTTTGACTTTCGACCCTTGCCGACGAAGCTCCGTAATGATAATTTTGGCCTTGGTTTGAACGGCAAAGTCCAAGAACCACGAAAAAAAAGCACAAGAGATATGCTCTAATGAAAATGATGATTATACTGTTATCCATGCTCTTTTCGGAGACTATAAAATGGCTTTGGTACGCTAGTACACTCTGGATGGTATCTCTGTTCAGTCTGTCTTGTGTCTGCGCTGGTCGGAGCTGGGCTCCAAGTCATCCTTGCGATGAGAACATAAGAACAGACATGAGACAGAAGACCTAGTTGTGAAAAAATGCCATCGGTTGAGTAGCGTAGAGTGCACTGGACTAACCACAATTCAAATCAAAAGGTAATCATTATAGTTCCGAAAATACGACCAGGCTTGAAGGCATGTGACACCGTAGAAACTGGAGATGTGCATTGATCAATAACATACGAGCAGAGGAATGATACGTACCAAGACGAGATAATGACCCGTATTAAAAGCACTCCGAAAGTATCACCAATATCGAGATGAGAGAGCCATAATAGGTGATATAGTAGTGAATTATCCGGATATTGCGCGCGGGAGGAAGATAGAGAGTCCAAGGCTACCGATGCTACCTCTGTTGATCGTGATAGAGTCGGGTCAAGGTGGCTTGTCGTTTGGTCTGTCAATGTGATGGGAAAAGCATCACTTACCGAGTTCAGTCAAACGCTAGATGTGTAGCTCAGCCATTTCATCGTCAATAGAAGGTAGGTATGAACCAATATCGTGGGTGTCACAACAGGGCGATGCCGTATCGACGCTCGTTTAAATGGTCACGCTGATAGACCCGCAAAGTGGAGAAGAGCGATGTGGCGTATAGCTATCTAGAGGTTGGCTCATTACTTCTCCCAGGTCGAGCTTTTCGCGTACTGTCAACGGTACGGTTGTCTGCCCAGCATTGTGAGTATCACTGTGATGCGAACAAACTGGAACTGGGCGCTCGATGTGTCCAACAACAGCGACAGCTCATCGACAGAAGATGATTGGTTTGCATTACTGCAAGATCAAAGTCGGCACTGGCAAACGGGTTATATGATTCTGATAACTCGTCGTCTGCTGCAGACAATAGTAACGACATGATTACATCGTTTTTGAGTTCCCTATTAGTATGTGAGACCAATATCGTCACAGAAAGGCCAGCGTGGCTTCCAGTATCATGCAAATCAGTATTCTGAGGCCCAGAGTTAGTTCACTGTCGACTCACGATAGTATCTATCATGGTACCTAAAAGGGAATCATGAAGGAACCGAGCTGAGGCTCGAGAGAAAATGAAAATTCAAAGGTCTAGACCGTAATCGATGATATCACCTTCGGCACACTCCGGCATGAGGCATTGGAACTCCGCCTCGTGACTACAAACTCTACCCAAGCGCTGGTAGACTTGCACCGACATTGTCCGGCCTCCTACAGATACCAACATCGGTAATGGAAATGGTAACATCAACGGGCAGCGGCAGCGAGACTACATCTCCTTGGACGACAGAAAAAAGCACGGAGAGTACATTGACGACTCAACACACGACTTTTACGCAGGTGACTACCGTGTACGTCCCTTCCTCTCTCTCTTTTTTGTTCATAACCATTCACACACTACATCAATGCAGTATCACCAACCCAGACAGACCCAAACAACAGTAGTCGAAGTCAGTACGACTCTACAGCGACTGTCGTCACCTCGCCGCATCCAACGCCAGTTCCTCATCGGATAACGATAACACAATATCAGCCTCGTAGGCGGTGTCGCTGGTCTAGTTATCCTCGAGGTGGAGACTATGGAAAGCTATCGAGTAGTTTGATGGGAATTTTGACCCTGATAGGGTTGTTTCTTCACATGGAGGGATGATGAGTCTCGCATGAGTCAGAGGCCCGGTGGTGGGGGTGTTTTAAGTGTGTCTTCCTTCCTTTCTTTTTCCTTATTTGAGGCGGTCCTAACGACGTGAAACCAAAACAGGCCGACGAGATCCCCCAGGCACGCCAACACTCCCCCAATTTCCCATCGACGACATCGAAGACGACGGTATGGACGGTCGACTTAACGCTACCTCCATCGGCGGAGGCGTCTTTTCACCATACCCCTTGTTCGCTCCAGGCCATGAACACTCCCCACACCCCAGCCAAACAACCGTCCCCAATCCATACGGACCGCCGCCTCAGTCACCGACTACGACCGATAGCCGTTATGCAGGTGCTATAACAGGTGCAGGGGGTGGATGACGCCCGTCCCCTGAGCCTTCTCTGCCGATGACTGCACCTAGCATGGTGTCCTGTCGCATATCGGCGGTGTTGGAGCGGGGATGTCCCCCGGGCGGCTTGCGAAAGAACGCGAAGCCTACGGTGGATTTGCAGGGGGTATGCCTGTCCCACAACACCTCCCTAACTAACCTGCACCGTATGGCCCTTCGTCGTATACGTACTACAACAGCGCTCGCCGAATGGAAGTAGGATGTGCACGTTGACATCTGCGCCATCCGATCTACAATCCCAGTCGAATTGCTCTCAACCATCTGGATCGGCTTCGGCTCAACACCAACAACATCAGCAGAGGTTGGCGGTAGCGAATCCGGATGGGGAGTTTGGTGAACAACACCATACATACCTCGCCGAGGGGCCATTGCTACATACAGATGCAGGATCTGCGAGGAATGAGATTCCACCGACTTATGAGTCACTGTTGCCTGCTTTAGGTGATGCGGATGCGAGTAGGGATGTTCAAGGTGCAGGTGCTGGGGGAGCAGGGGAAGGGAGTGGTGCAAAGTAGAGGGATTGAAAATGAGACGTTTTATTCAGTGTACCAACGGCGGATCGTTTATTGACGCTGACTCTTTTTTCTGTACTCTTTTATGTTTTTACTTACGCCATACCTATGAATATCCGGAACTTTTTTCCTAGAGTACGAATGAAAACCCTTGAAGTACTTAATAACTAAGTACCTGCCATTTTTACCCTTGAGTAATAAAAACCAAGGTGGCACGGGGGTAATCGAAGGTGTAAACTCCGTTATGGTGTAGTGGCTAACATTATCGCCTCTCATGAGACGAGAGATCAGGAGTCGCGATAGCCCAGGGTTCGATTCCCTGTAACGGAAATGTTCTCCACTGGAGCTGGTTTTTCGGAATGTAGGCGGCGATGGTCTATGTTTTCCTTTTCCTTCCTCCTCCGCCTCTCTTCTCTTATGACTTTGGGTTTTGGGTTTCTCGATAGTACAGGATACACGAATGAAAAAAGTTAATACCTCTACTTACATGCCAAGGAGCGAGAAACATTCCGTCATCCGTCACTGCGTAGTGGCTGCTCTCTTGTAGAGTCTCGCGAGGCCTAGGGTTTTATTCCATGTAACGGAATACGAGCACTCAATCAAGCAGCTTTTTGTCGACGTTTACAATTTCTGAGTGCCTTTCATAGTATTATCCAGCGCATATGTACCCGGTATTTAGTATGCCGATCAACTTCTAGTTTTGCACAGGTTTTGCAGTGCAGTACAATTGAAACTTCATGATTGTTATCGACTTCTCCCCGTGCCCGAGGTATTCCTATAAAATGATCGTGGCTATCACGATTGTTGTTAGTATGCTCGATCCTGAACCTGAACCTGACTCGCTCCCAAAAGTTGTCAAGTCTGGATTGTTATTAGTATCCATTGCTTAAGCCTTAGCGCTTAGCGTTTAACCGTTTATGGTACCCTAAACCCCATTTGTGCTTCTCCTATCAATTGTACGCTGCCAGTGGGTGCAAGTAGTAGGTAACCGCTCACCAACTCGTATTCATCCCATGATCAGCAACTTGAACTTGTCAAGAACTTGTTTGTAATATCAAGCTCAGGAAGGAAATTCAAGCTTTAAGCCGACTCGGGGGGTACTTCTGGACGAGATGAATGAATGATGGTCACAAATAGAAATCTCTACAGTGAAGATGTCTACAGTGAAGACAGTTCAACTAAATAGCCAAATACGAGGTCCTTGAAATATTTTTAGCATTCTACTCGCCTCTGCTTTGGTAAACCCTGGCGGCACGAATCTCCTGCGTGTCAAGGTAGCCCAGGTAATTTCTTCTCTGTGATCAAACCCATATTTCTCTTCGCAATCATAAAATTCTTCTTCCTCTCCTTCACTAGTTTCTTCGTCGTCGCTGAACGTTTCATCCTCATAAACAGACGGAAGAGCTCCATTGCGACAACTCGAATGTTCCTCCTCCCAGGCGTCCTGTTCGAATACCAGAAGACGCTCCTTACTCCCACAAGGCACTCAACAAATCATGCTCGAACCCTTCGGGGCATTCCTTTTGTCCCTCAGGTACCTAATGAAACGGCAATAGACCCTTCGCCCGATGTTCTTATCAAATACTTTACAAAACCTTTTTATCGAGTACTTGTACGGCCTTAAATCCTTCTCTGTGCTATACGAGAGTTGTTATCAAGCTCCGAACTTGGTAAGGATATGGGATGTAATGTCATGATCGTCGAAAAATTAGTCAGCTCCCATCAAAAAGTTCTTGAGAATGAGCGCCACGCGGCGTAAGCGAGGAAAGTCGATTAGGAGAAGTGGATATTGCTTGGAGGAATCAGGGTAATGACTCTTCCGAGTATTTGTTCGCTCCTACTTTCTCGGGACCGGGGATGGATGGTATTTGCGTCGTGTTCGAACGACTTTATGAGCGACAGAGCGATCGAGGAGGTGGACCCTCACTACGGACGGGAAAAGATTTCGTGAAAATTGTATGCCATGTTCGCGTGAGGATGGTACATCTCTGGCAGCAACTTGGAGAAAACTGAGTTCCAGTTTTCGAGACGTGATGGGATGATTGATATAATGATGCACGTTCAGAAGGTGATGAAAGGGGCGATAGCAGAGTGTGGTGATGAATTGTTCTGGTGATATCGAGTAGAAAGTTCTGTGGAATGGTGTGTTCGCCAGTGATAATTTGGTGTATCCCTCGGCCTGAAAGTCAGGTTTATATCCACTGTCTGTTAATAAGACAATTTCTATGTTATGAGGAAACGAAACACCTACGAAACAAGCCACTCTTCAAAACATAGTCTGCATTCCGAGACAGTACTCAGTATGAGACTTACATGTTACAGTTTCACATTACTTGTTATCCTATACCAGCATTGAGATGGAAAGTATGTTTTAAATGTGATGAAGAGGAAGAAGCAAGGCTCAAGTCGAGGGAACACAACCGTTGACTTGAAGTTGACATAAATAGTCGGAGGTAACTCGTTATGGTTCACAAATCGGCTCACATTTGATGATCGTTACCGCATAACGAGTTTCTTTTCTTTCGTACAACAGTTCGATAGTACACTAACAGAGGTGGTGATTCCGATCCATTGCGCATGAAGTGAAGAGTCCGCGGTTCTACTCGACATAAAAATCAGAATCAACATCTATACAATTCAACGAAAGATACCATTTTATTTGGGGTCTGGAGGGTCATGATATTACTTGCGGATCTTTGGAGCAAGGTGTCCCCCACCGATTAGTTCCACGACTCCCGGAATCATGTTTGAGCCGTTCCGCAGGGAAGGATCGGCGCAAGCAGGTCTAACTGGTTAGGCGCTGTTAGGCGCTGAGCGTAGACAGAACTATTTTGCGCTCAACACTCACGGATGTTCATTGAAATCGAAACGTTGTTTTGCAGCTTCACTCCTCATGTTAACAGTAACCCGTCTTAGGGTTAGGTTGTCAGGTGCGAGAGCCTGTTGTACTAAATCCGAATTGTGCGGTTTTTCTTCTGCAAATTCTCAATGTAGAACCTCTTACTCTGTCGAGTTGGGGGACATTTCAGCTTTCTGTGTCGTATATGGTACCCTTATTGGACACGCATGGACGATTCTGGAGAGATCTAATTGCCGCCTAGCTTTCGGTTTCCATCAAAAAGCCTCAAAAGCGTGGCGAAATATGGTTCCTTGTCTATGTAATTTTGGTTTCATGAAAAGGTTAATTGGGCAGTGGTTACCCCGGTCGTCTTGACAGATCTGAGTCGGTAAAGACTTCATCACCTAAAGCTACATCGATGATCAAGACGCCGAGTACTTCCAAATGCAGGTAAAAAGGCCACGTCGGAATTATGGAGTGCTTCAGGATAGTAGCGGTTCCAATATCGATTTTGCTGTTGAAGGGGAGTTTTGTCATGGCTTTGGTGGGACTCTTTAATACAATGGATGTTTTACAATTCTCCTCTGACGAACAATTAACAGTCAGGTCCTCGTAGTCCTAAATGATTACTGTAAGTTCGGACTTGTTCAACAAGTACTTCGGAATTAGCCAAAGTCGCAAGGTTCTGCCCTTCGAGTAAAATTGACTACCCTAAACTTGAAATTCCCAGTACAATGATGACCTGCCGCTTCTTCTTTTGACTTTTTTATCGAAATCCTTGCTTGTAGAGTCTAGGTCTTAATCAATGAATGCATAGAAACAGGGTACTGGACGACGGATTGGGTTCTCGGGTTGAAACGCTCTGCGGTGTGTTTTTATGGTCTCTAATTCCGGCATTGACCTTTCGCTAGACAGGTAGCGTGAGCCGCCGCTATCACTTTCCGATCTGTGAACGTATGGATCAGTTATTAGACACATTTAACACGTGCATATGTGGATAGCCAGTGTAAGTGACCATATGTTTGTTCATTCACATAAATATGAACTTGGGCTATATGAGCGAGTCAGCGTATCAATGTGTCTGCTTGATAAGTTATCCAAGCCTGGAGCTCTATCTAGCCCACTGTCAAGATTGTAATTAAAGATTTGAATAGACAATACGACCCCCCCATTTCTGTCATTTGATGAAAACGGACTAATGCTTGTCGTTGTGGTCACGAACTCTTACACTTACGTGCAGATTCATCGAGGAGTTTCATTGGCTGCCATTCAAGTATTTTCGGTATACTGCTTATCTGTCGTCAAGCGCGGGACTCTTTTCCGGTTTTGTTGGGTATCGCTCTTTTATCGGACAATTGTCACGGCAGGTGGGTGAATCTCCAAGTAATGCTGCATAGTAGTAGACTTGCACATGTTAGTTACCCTTTCAGCGTGGATCGGGTGCTCCTTATGACGGGACCCCATGATCACGTTTGCTGTCGAATAACGGAGAGACTTGAATGGATTTCTCGCCGGTTGTGTGATAACCCGGACTCACGACCGCTGGCAATGGGGACCCCACGATCGGAAAGCATAGGGCAGGTCTCTGAAGGTTTACCACTGGTGACTGAAGGTGTAATGGGTGGGCGGCAGGCGGGTCCTGAAGGAATGTAAAGTGTGTATAATGTATCTCAATTGTATAGCACTTAATTTTTGTCCAAATTAATGGTCTTCTATGTTGGATAGTGAATATAGTCGGGAGTTCAAGGGCGCTGATTTCAAGTTAGAAGCAGGTACCTCAAGTACTCATTTGTCATAATGTTGGTTATTCAGTCTATTTCAAGTAATCTTCCTAGTGGGCCTTTCAAGGAGTAGGAATGCGATTGATGGGCGTTTAAACTATCGTAAATTTGGTGTTTATGGTGACATGCCACTTTCCAAGATCATGTAGATATGTTAGGTCCGATATAATATTGAATGTACCATGGATGACGAGAGCCAGGTGAAGAAGCCGGGGTATGGTTACAGTTCACGGGAGTTTTCGATAATCATTCTAATGTTTAGTTTGCATGACAGCGCGAAAATGATTGGCTAGCGAGAAAAAAAGTTAGGGAGCATGTTTATTGACAAATGTGATATTCTAAATAGTTTATAGCGATTGAATTTATCACAGGAACACTGTGACGGGACGGTACATATACGTATGTATCACGATTTTTATTCAACGTTGACATAGTATACTTAAAACAAGCCACGTCTCTCAGCTTCGTCTATGGTATGGGCACGTTCATCATACACCGGGCCCTATTAAATTCAATGGTACCTTCCTCGTCATGTTTCTAGTATGGACCAAATAATGCGGGCACTAGCGTTAAGGAACTCTCTTCAAGGGAAAGCATGGTGTTTTCTGCTTGGCTTTTTTTTTTTTTTATGTAATTTCTCTTTTATGTTCAACATTATTTCTGGTCAGACATACCTATGTATCCCAAAACAAATCCAGACTGGACCCTGG